TGCAAAATAGCAAGTAATATCAACATTACTACATTGAATTCTAAGCACCAACAACAACTGGAAATTTTTGGCTTTAAATCCGGCGACAACTGCGAACAAACTTCTACAGCAATTCCACCGCCATCAACTATATCAGAAAAACCATCTACAACAAATTCCATCCGAATACCGCGCCATTCCAATTTAAATTCTAATGGCTCATGGTGTTCAATTTGTACTATTCTTCAATAAGATGCCTTTCTTGTAACATATTGCAAGAAATAAGCAATCTCGGAAGACACCTGGAGACTGATATATGTCCGGTGGTTTCATTCTAGCACTCGCAAACAACTGTTTGAATTTCCCGCAATCTAACACAGTCACTTACTTTGCTCTGCCGCGCATGTTCTTTTGTGCCTTTGCTTTACTGCTTGTTCTATGCCTATATGAACCAGCTCATCATTGTATCTTGATTCTGCTTGCAATTTTCTATAGTGAAATTTTATGTGTTTAATCTATGGCCATCTGATTTATCAACAGGCCAATTAAGAAGAAGAAGAAGAAGAAGAGCGCATTCTAGAAATTGCACGACTCGTGAATGTCAAATAACTCAAATTATTGAGTCATACATTACATAATGTAAGTTTTATAAAAGATGTCAAAATAATTGTTCAATCTTTTTATTTGGTTTTTTGCTGTCCGGGGTCAGTCGACACACGCAAGTCTCGATTCCCCTACAAATGTGTCCTTGTTGCACAAATAATTATTTTTAAACAAAATATTTAAAGCAGAATTTTCTTTCAAATAAAAGACTATTGTGAAAAATAAAATCAAAATGAGAAAAACAAAGCAACGTAATATTGATAGAGTAGAAAACAAAAAAAGATTTCTGCCGCTTGATAAATACTTCTTAATTACTAAGCTGAAAAATTTGCAATTTATGTACAAGAAATATTTAGAGTCACGTAAACTTCTTTAGTTGAAGAATCTGGAAATAAAATAAGATAATTAAAGTCTCACTTATTTGTTCTTTTTTATTAACCACTATATAAGTCTTTTACATTGCCTTATTGACTATATATTTTTGTCCATGAAACTAAAGAATAAACATCTGAAAGTAAAAAGATGTATACACCTGTTATAAAGACTATAAATTTAAAACACCAAATTATGAAAATATTTTTTAAAAATAGTTTTTTTAAACATACATTATAAATAAAATTGGAAGAAAATTAAAATTTTTAATAACTTATATCTCCCCTCACCCGGAAAAAACGAAAACACTACTTTTAAAAAAATAAAAACATTTGACATAAATAATAATTAATCTTTTAATCTCTACCTGACTTGGATCACATAAAAAAATTAAACAAAAAGTGTTAATAAGTATTTTATTAATAAATAATTAAAATTATTTTACGTACGAAAGTAAAAGGCTGTTGGTATACACTTTTACATACTCTCTAAATTTGAGTAAGTGGAAATTCTCTGTTTCGCAAAACACTCATTACAAAATAATTATCTCTCATCCACACCATTAAAAAATTGTCACCTGTACTATCATAATTTGCCATAAATTGCAAAATTACTCATAAATAAGAAATTTATTTAAAATAAATATTTTCTTTAAAAAAGAAAACCGAAATATCATATGAAAAATATATATATATATTTTTTATATTTAAATGTATCTCTTAGATAACGTTTGAAAATAAAGTAGAATATAAAAAATTTTCTACACAAATAAAACCTGAAATGTAAATTTTCTTAATTCACAGCGCTGTTTAATGGACGTCATGAGAGTGGCCCTGTAACACAGAGAATAGGAACACAGCATCCGAAGCCGCATCAAACTGTGTGCCTTGTTTTGCGTCGCGCAAAGATAACATTTGATTACGTGTTGCCATCCGTTTACTATATTAGTAGTAGTAGTATAGCTTCAAAGTGATCGTCAAGGCGGATCAAAACCACGAGAAATAATTCAATCCAATTGAAACAGTAATGTTACTTTTTTTAAATACTTAAATGAAAATTAAGCCGCTTCATCGTAGAAGAACACATAAATTTTTTATTGTCCTAATTCGAAGTTTCCTGGACACTTAAAATTCAACTTCTCAATTTGAATATTTTTAATGAATTCTGTACTGTATTATTGTGAAAACATAAACTACTATCTTCGCGGCTCTTGTTTACTGGTTGAATTTTGAGTATAGAGCAAGCAACGCGCGCTATACTTTCGGCCACTAGCAACTTTAATAATTCACCATTTTAACACTAATTATTATTAATTGGCAGTATAGTTTTTCAAAAAACTTTTTTGGACCATAATGAACAACTTTTTTACTGAAAGTTCTTTATTGCCTAAAATTCGACCTTTAAGCAAAAGCTGCGAGGTTTCCAGTTCATGTTTATCACGATAATACAGAAAAAAAAATTAAGAACAATTTTGTTTATAAAGAAAACAAAGTTTTTTTATCATTCTTAGGAGAGTAAGTTGTTAGAATTATAATTATATCCTTCCACAGTTTCGTTAATGTTGATAATATATATGATCTTGGAAAGGTAAGATTTGAATGAAATTCAAAAGTGTGCCGTTAAAAAAGCGACGTTTCGTTGGCTAAGATTTGACAACCTCAGCAGGCAGATAAAACAGATAAATTACACTTCAGTATTCTTTTAGAACCTTGGAGATTTGACTATAAATATTGACTCTGTTTTGATTGTTATTATTCTCGTTAGAAAATTTTAACTTGCTCATTCTAATGTTAATATATTTTTCAATAAAATCTAAAGAATAATTATTGTTTTTTTAGAATTGTTTTAACTTTCTTCAAGTACTCAAACTGTAATTTTTTATTGGACAATGAAATGGCTCTATCAACTAAGTTGTACACAATATTCTTTTTTTGTTGGGTTGGATGATCTGAAAAATAATTAATAAGTCTGTCGGAAGAAGTTGGTTTTTGATACCAGTCAATGATTACATGGTTATTTTCTCTAATAAGTGTTAAGTCAAGAAAATTAATGGAATTGTTTTTTTCTATTTCCATATAGTAAACTGTAATTTTTGACTGTATGAATTTGAACGTGTCAATGACAAGAGTAATATTTTCTTTTTCTACACCTGAAATTGTGCCATCTACATAATATCTATAATAAAACAGAGGTACACAATTATGTTTTTCTTTTAATATTTCAAGACAATCAGTTTCCAGATTCATCTACGACTTGGACATTTTAGATTCATCAGTTCATCTAAGACTGTGTTTACGTTTTAGTTCATTGACTTATCTCACGTATTTACTAGTTTGACTTTATAAGATGAGTAAATATATTTTCAGTTGACAGTGAATCGCTGTTTTAAGAATGTCTTTCTCTGTTCTTTTTATTCTTATAAGTGTAGAACAATTTTTTATTATATTTTGACTAAACTTTTTAATTTTTTGACATTTTAGCATGTGCTTGATGTTCTAACAAAATTTATATCATATTATGATATCATAAATGTATATCATTGTTGTTCATTTATCAAAATAGTGATTTTAGACCTTTTTAAAAAAATACTGAAGTGTGATTTATCTACTTAACAAATTTTCAGCCTGATGAGGTTGTCAAACCCTAGCCAACGAAACGTCGCTTTTTTTAACGTTACACTTTTGAATTTCATTCAAATCTTGCCTTCCCAAGATCAACAGTTTTTTCTAAATAATTTCGAAAACGGTGATAAGAAAAAATATTCATAAAAATAGCAGGGGCAATGAAAGTTCCTATAAAGACATGCATTCAAAATATTTAAATTCAAAAGTTGAATTCGAGTGTCAAGAGGAAATTGATTTTGGCCGAGAAAAATTTACGCGCCCTTATAAAATCCAGCGGCTCAATTATCGCGCTAAATTTTTAGTGGAATATATGACACTCTCTGAAGAAAGGTTTACTCTAGTTTTCTTTTAATTAAAAATTCTTGACAATTTTGTAAAAACAAAAACAATTTTTATTTAAGTGCGACTCCAAGAAAAAATGTAGTTATTTCGGAGTAAGTAAACCAATTGCAATGAAACTTAGGAATTTTAATTCACACTTAAACAAATCTAACCACAAATTAATAAAAAAAAATAATGAAGTGTTTTGGTTAAAATGGTTAGGAGGAATCTCGAAAACTACTGAATATTTTGACGTAATATTTACTAACTCCGAAATAACTAAAGTTTCCTTTGGAGTCGCACTTAACATTTTAGATGTAATGAAGATTTAAACATCATAATTTTGTATTGATATTTAAGGTACTACTACACTTGAGAATTAAAAAAAAATTTTTATTGTATGTTTTAACTCCTTAAGACTTCAAAAAACACCTAAAGTATTCATAACCAATTGTAAAAAATAAAAGTAAATTTTTCAAAATTATTCAATAAATATAAAAAGTCATTAAAAAATTAAGTAAATCTTTAAGGGGATGGTGGGGTCCAGCTTTTTGTTATGACCAGTAGAAACATTGGTGCTAATGTATGTAACAGTGTCTGACAAAAAAATAGTGGAGGGGTTTCAATTTGCAAAAGAATAATTTTAGGTAATTTCTGGATGGCCTCTAACGATGCATATAAGGTTTAAACACGTTTTTTTAAATTGCGGACACTTTATCTCTGAATCTACTGAACCGATTTTAATAAATAATAAGTCGTTTTGTTTGTTAGCATGTCCTGTGTGTGAATTCACCAGAAAATAGTCAAGAAATTAAAAAAAACATTTTTGCAGATTAGAAAAATTCTGAAAAACATAGTGTATTTTTAAACAAATTATTAAAACATCTGCTATTTTTTTATTTTGGTCGATTTTTAATTAATGGTGGTGGATTTCTATGCAAGACACATTCTTTTTTAAAAATCAGCTTGGATTTTTTGTTTCCGATTTGTCAATCTTGAGATAAACTGTCCGCAATTGGACAATTAACTTTTTGGAGTTTCGATCTGGATGCTGTCTGCAGATTATGATATTAAATAAAAATAAAAAACAAACCATTATTTTTATTCTCCAAATATGTACTAAGATAGGCAAAAAAGTTTTTTACATTTTTATAATAAAAGACCTAATAAAAAAAATTTTTAAATTTGGTCTTTTAAGAGCCTTCTAAAGTGTAGTAGTACCTTAATCTTCTTTATGCATTTTCTTTCAAACTATTCTTGTCAAATGCTCCTAAGATACCTTTCATCAGGATAAATCACATATTTCTTACCCTTAAAGGTCGAAGCACGTCATTCACAAATGCAAAGCCTGAAATAAAAAATGCACAGTCATACTTGTGTCATTTTCTATCTCATCCTTGTACTTCGCGAACCTATTGCGTGTTGACCTTAAAAGTGTTCGATGGTCTCTTAGGCTGGAGTCCCATGACAGCGTTTTGCGTTGCGTTTTGTAACTAGGCCATGAGTGTGAGAAAGATACAGATATAGGTTTTCTCTATTTGCACTCATTGCCTAGTTACAAAACGCAACGCAAAACGGTGCCATGGGACTTGACCCTTAAATTTCTGCTTATGTGCTACCTCTACACACAAACACTTTTTACTGTGTTAAATCTGCCAACGTATAAAGGGCACATTTCTTATACTTAGCTAAATCCAAAAATATTTTTTTAATTCATGCATAATAGCGGTTGCAAAATGGAAAATACAATAGTAATGTAATACAAATCATATGACAATTGGGCTTTTTGACATGGTCACAGCTCAGGTGTCTGCGCAGGCAAGAGCAACAAGAGTAAGGAAGAAAGTATTTTAAATTTACTGACTCTTACTCTTGCATCTTACAAAAGTAAGAGAGTCAGTGAATTTAAACTCATTCTGCTGTACAAAGTTAAAATTTAGTAACCAGTAACAACTCTTGTTGCTCCAAGCAGATTGCAAAACTTAGTTAAAACTTGTAAAAATGCGTTGCTTTAAACAAATAAAAATTTACAACAATGGCGATTCGTAAGACTAAAAATTTGTTAAAATGTCAATTCAGTTAAATGTCATTTCGTCATAAATACAGTTCAATTAAGTGACACCTCGGTAAAACACAAATTTGGTCAAATGACATTTGGGAAATATGTAACAGTGCGCCCCATCGTACATAATCAAGAAATATCAGAGACCTTCGAGCACTCTCAAGTACGATCACAGAACTTTAAATACCATTTGTATATGACGACTGCACTTGCGGTTCTTTTACTTTCATCGAATCGTTTGCGACATGTGTAAGGGAGTGAGCATAAGATCGAAGACGGCTTCTTTTAAATTGGCACCTCGTAGATTCGCCTCATGTAAATCCGATCCCGACAAATCACAACTCTGAAAATAAATGATCATTTAGAATGTTAGTTTTACCTATTGAAGTTATGTTATTCAGTGGTTGGGTATCTTATATTGTTCCTATTGGGGCGTTCCATGAGCAGAGCAAACTTTGAATTTCAGATTTTCTTTATACTTTGATATTTTGTTTTCTTATGGGTAATTTGAATCGTTCGCTCGAAAAACGGCTTAATTGTTTTAAGTGATTTTGGCAAGGTAAGCGTCTTTTGAAAAACGGTTTAAATCAACTTAAGCCGTCTTTTAAGCGAACGGCAAAATTCAAAACTCCTGAAAACAAAACAAATTTTATTTATATCCCACATGCACAAAAATGGCGCTTTTAGATAGCTAACGACAGGGAGTAAAGTCACTCATTTGTTCGACCGTATGAAAATGGCGACCTTTTTTCCCAAGGGCAAAAAAACAGCTGGTCCCATGCTTTTTTTGCATATGGGAAAAAAGGCCGCCATTTTTATACAAGTCGAACAAGTGAATGACTTTTACTCCCTGTCGTCTGCTATCTGAAATCACCACTTTGTGCATTAGGAATAAAAAATATCGTAAGTAACATGGGAATAAAGGCAGCCAATTTGTTAACGATGATTTTTCCCGAGACTCATTCCGGTTTCGGGGCGCCCTCGACCTCCACTCGTGTCACAAAAATCATCGTAAACAAATTGGCTGCCTTTATACCCTTGTTGCTTAATATATACTATTATTACATACATTTTGTTTTTGTGCTCAGTTGTGTTTGAGAAAAGAACATCTGGGACATTACAATTGTGCAGTGAGTTAATAATAAAGCTCTAATTATTTGCTATTTTCTATTATTATTATTATTGTTCACTTGCTGATTGACTGTACTTTTGAGGAATGGTTATTTATTTGCCTCCATAAGATTATGTGGAGTTATTTTGTGCAATAGGATTCATCCATATATTATATATTTTAATTTTGTGCATGATTTTTTTTCAATCTGAGTTTTATGCCCGGTTCCACCAGCTCGTAGTTAAATGTTCGATTAACTGACGGTCCGCTAAAGTTAAGAGGCACAACTAGAGTGCGGCCTTCTCAGTGACTGAAATAAAAAAACCAAAAAGATTATTAAACTAGAAAATATTTTCCGTATAATGACCCTCGGATGTCAAAAAATATTGAATTGCAACAGAATAACGAAGTTTTGAAAAAAGCTTTTTAATTTCGCCAAAAAAATCCGATGGTTCTTGGCATCCCAAAATTTTATTTTTCTTCCAATCAAAAAACTGGAGCCTCATTGTACGGCAAATATCTTCTAGTTTAATAATCTTTGTTTTTTTTATTTCAGTAACTGAGAAGGACGCAATCACTCACTGAAAAAAATTCTGTGTCGCTACCTTACCTACGAATGTCGCTACCACACAGATCAGATGGTAAGTACTATCCCGATTTCGGAAGGGAGATTAGCTCTCAAAGGAGCACTACCTCACCGCGAGAGAAGGCTAAAACACTGGTTTTTCGTCCAATCTGAGACCCCGAATTGAGAGAGCATAGCGCGTCACAGCTCACACCCATATACACCGAACTAAACTCTCGGCGTGCTCAATACGAGGTTGCACCAATCTCGAGATATCGGTATGACAGCCCCCCGTCTATTCGGGAAGGCTACCTGCTCTCGAGATTCGTTGACGCACCCGAAAACCGAAGGACAGAGCACTCGAGGCAAGAGAGTGTAGCGCCATCGCCACACATGTGGCAGCCACACAGAATTTTTTTCAGTGGTGCAGAAGTGGGAGAACTTTTTTTTTGAGATAGCGAATAACTCTTTTAAAAAAAGATATTTTTCTTTGCAAAATTACAAAATGTTTACTATTTATAGAAATATACATGTACAAAACTTTAAAAAAAAATTAGATGCAATAATTTCCCTGAAAAAAATTCCTAAAAATCACCGTTGTTTTCAGTCACTCACACTAGTTGTGCCCCTTAAAGGTGCTGTTTAGCTGAGTTTATCTGCCTATGCGTTCCACCAACATGTTATAAACCATGGTTAGCTAAACGTATATTCGGTTCGCAATAACATTACTTTCTCTATTGTGATTGGTCAATCCTAACTGAAGTACACGTTTATGGAGCTGTGTAGAATTTTCCTCACAAAGTCACCACGTGTTCGGTAACGGTTTGCAACTCTTCATTTTATAAAAGTTAAATATAATTAATAAATTTATAAACATAAATAAAAACATAAATATAAACATAAATTTTATTATTTATATAATAAATTCTAAACAAAAATGTATCATATTGCAAAATAATTTGGGATATATGTATAAGCGTGAACTTCCAAGAATTATAAGATTTAGAAATTATAATATTGCATTAGATCAAGATAATTTCTTCAGGGAACAAATTATGCTATATACTCCATGGCGTAATGAACAAAAAGACTTATTAGAAATTAATCATGAAATTGTATTTCATGAACACATTGACCAAATTAGAAAGGAGAGTTATTAATTTAATCAATTTGGCAAAAATATGGATTTTGAGAAACTGTTACAAATTATAAATGAAAAAGAACAAGGCGAAGATGAACTGGAAAAAATTACTTCAAAATTTATTGATCCACTTGAAGGATATGAATATGATTCCCAAGTTTCAGACATTTCTCATGATATAGGTGATCATCCAGGAATAACTGAAAATACTATTTTTTATGGTCCACCACAATTTCCTGAAGAAGAATATTTATCTCTCATAAGAATATTAAATTTACCTTTACTTCTTTGCATAGATTTTTATACTAATAACAATAATAACATCGGAAAAAATCAAAGACTCAAGATGATTCAAGAGGCAATCAAATCAGGAATAAATTTATCATTAAATTGGACACCAATTGAATATGCTCGTCACGTAATAAAAAGAATGAAATCTTCACATATTCAAATCATAAGAATACAATTTCCTTTAGTTCCTGCTGAGGCAATAACTGTACACAAAAGTCAAGGAGCAACATTAAATATTAAAAATTGCCATTAAAAATTTCACTGCAGGCATTTATGAATCATTTTTCAGCTACCATAAACCATTATGGTTAAGAAAATATATTTGAAAATTTTAAATCAATATATTGTATTATTTTTCTAATGTATAATATATTAATAATTAATAAATAGAAAATTACCACACAAACTGAGTTTTTACTTTCACTCAAGAACCATTACTCTAACAACAGTTGTTATGACAACCATTACCATAGAAACGGTTGTCATGGCAACGGTTGTTGTGGCAAACATTAACATAGCAACGGTTGCCATGGCAATGGCTGTTATGACAAACATTAACATAGCAACGGTTGTTATGTTGTCTTAAGACTTAAGACATAAGACTTAATACATAAGACTTAACGGTTGCCATGGCAACGGTTGTTATGTTGTCATAAGACTTAATACATAAGACTGAAAACTTAAGACTTAATACATAAATCTTAAAACTTAAGACATAAGACTTAATACATGAGACTTAAAACTTAAGAACTTCTTATACCGAAGTCTCGCTACACGGAGAAAAATGGATAGTTAAATTTACTATCTAGATAATCAGGGTGACGATCTTGGATACTCAACTATAGGACAACCATCTAGATAGTTAAATTTAGTATCTTGGGATAATCAAACTTACATACTAACTGCTATTATCCAAGATGTTTACTTTGACTATCCTAAATAGTAAACGCAAGTTGCTGTGTTTATATACATCTAAGTTGATCAATAAGAAATATTTAATGATAAAAGTTAATTTTTTAAGAAATTAGTGAACATTTCTCCTAGATAAATAATTTTTTATGGAAAATCTGAAAATTTTAAAGAACAAAACACATTAATTTAACGGTAACCTTGAAATGTTTAAATCCTTTTGACAGGTTTAAAGGTTATGTTGCTAATCGTAAGTTTTATATATTTTTTAAGCAATATTATATCTTAAATTCAGTATAAAAAAACTTGACAATGTTTTTAAATTTCGAATAATATAAAACTATTTAACCGTGTTCGATGGTCTCTCAAATTTCTCGATAATGTGCGACCAACAGTTATCACCCAACAAATACGGCACTGACCGGTTTAAATGACGTGAAATTGGTAAACATTCATTTTCTAACAAATTTTCCTCTGTTCACAGGCACTTTTTACAAAATATGACAACGTACATTTGTCACAAATGTTTTTACTTGTCTGAATTCAAAAGATTTTGTCAATTCCTGTAGAAACGCGGTTGGAGGATTGGAATTACCATAGCAATGTAATGCGAATCATTTTGACAGCTGATCCTTTAAGGCGCTCTCACAGCTAGTAGGCAGCATACAAATTTGAATTTACTGTCTCTTTCACTCTAATTGATTTTCTCTCTTACTCCAATTACTGCCTGCGCAGGCAGGCAGAGCTGTGAGAGCTCCATTACGCACGCTGCATGCTTCTGCCCTCTAATGGCAAAGTGGCTGCAATATATGTATAGCCACATGTCATTAAATTCCTTTTGTATTTCTAATCCTGTAACCGCGTTTCTGCATGGATTAACAAAATCTTTTGAATTCAGACAATTAAAAACATTTGTGACAAATGTACGTTGTCAGATTTTGTAAAAAGTGCCTGTGTGCAGAGAAAAACTCGTTCGAAAACAGTTGTAATCGGTAATCGGTAGTCAAACTTCTGCGCAAGCGCTCGGCAAGTTGACTATCCAGGATAATAAATTTGATTATCTAGATATACTAAACGGGAATATATAATATTTCAGGAAGATAATATTTCTAACTATACAGATAATAAATTTGATTATATATTTTTTAACTATCCATTTTTCTCCGTGTATAAGACTTAAGACTTAATACATAAAACTTAAGACGTAAGTTTTGGCCCTTAGCCACGAAACCCTAAAAATGGCAGAAAAAAGGTCGCCAAATTTTTGGCCATCAGAAAAATCTTGTTTATCTGAATTAGTGACAAAATATAAAAAACTTATTGAGA